AAAGATAAAAGAAAAGATTAAGAATTTCCAAAATTTAGTATTTTTTAAGTTCCAACAACTAGAACCGTAATGATGCAAGGCTAAGCGAATTTTCTTGTTTCTGCAGTGAAAATGTCGTATTCTTAGAAGGAGTGTAACGGTTCAACCACATGGCACCCGTCTCCATTTTGATTGCTATCGGATTTTGTATTAGCAACATGTGCTACATTGCCGCTAATGAGTCCCCGCTTCAAACACTGAGCAAAATTGTTCATTATCGGATTTTAACGCACATTTTTGAGCAATCCAATGTTGCGCTAATCGTGATACGATTGCAGCGGAAGACATTTTTCTTCAAAGCTTAGAATTTTTCCTTTTGTTCCGAATGTCTGTTGAAGGACTTAAAGAGAATAAAATATCATTTAATGATGAAAGTTTGTTTCAAGCACCGCTTTCTTTTTTTTCCCCCCTCGTGAATAATTTCTTTTGATTGTTTTGTCGCCGCGCCTGTGAAGGTGGCATTAGTGTAGAACAAATAATTTTCTTCCAAGCTCCTCATTATCTGATTTTGATTCTCTTCTTACGATTTTTGCATTAAACTTTTCAGATGACGCTTATTTCGCATTTGTATTAGCATTCTGGTGACATCCGATTTTAGTTTTCAAAATAGGGCAATTTCTTATAGATTTTATATTCCACCTTATAACCCGGACTTTTAATAATAAAAAAAAAAAAAAAAAAAAAAAAATAGGACCAAAATTTACGGTTTGCATTATACGCCAGATATAAAAATGATAGCTTAAAAAGAAAGAAAAAATTAGATTTTTTACATGCACCCAAATGTTGCTTATATAAAAGAAATGACATATCTTATATAATTAAATATTTTTGTTATCGGATAACATGAAAAGTTCGTCTTCCGTTGTATCTTCAGGCGTGTCATAGAATTTTGTTTCATCTTCATCATCATTGTTATTTTGATCCGTAAATAAATAATCATTATCCGTTCTATATTTCACCAACACGAAACATCCTTGCTGCAGCACGATTTCCCTTTTCTTTCGCAAATTATATAGGAATTGCATTTGCATTTGGAATTTCAATTGCATTTGGAACTAGCACTGTGTTTGCTTCTTTTCGCGGGAGCCATATTTACTACCAAAAGGACCACTAGATCAACTTCATTTCAATTAAAGTAAATGCAATTTAGTAAAGCCTTCGATTTTCACTTCAAAAGACTACAGAAAGAGAAAATATCTCACTCCTAATTTCACAAATTCATTCAGGTTGGAAGTACTCTACAACGGCATTTTTTGGACATTTGCATTGAATACAATCCACCCTCTTTGTCGGAATATTTACTCGTTCAAGCATTTAACCCACACACATATTGCTATAGCTTGTCAATGCGGTGTACCATTGTTCGAAAAACTAGGACAGATGTTCCAATAAGTGACATCAAAAGATAAGAGCATTGCACATATACCTTTTAGATTTCTTCGTGAAGAATTGGGTGCGCGTTGTACGGCGGATATACTTAAAAATTTTTTTAAAAAATGTAGCTTGAAATTACAGATGTGCGTTATACGCCAGATAATACGCTAATTATATGAGCAAAATTTAGAGTTGCATTTAAAGATGACCCTTTTAAACTCGTATTTGGGTATTGAATGTGTTTGCCTTTAGTAAAAAACTCGTTATTTAAAAATTGATAAATGACCCAACGTACTCATATGACGTATTCTGAATTACCTTTCAACTTGAAATCTTCTGAATTTACAGAAATATTACTGTTTTGATAGCTGAATATTGGAGAATGTGTTCAACCGAAGAAAAGATTTGTGGAAAATCTCGTCTTTACTACATTAATAATGAAATGTACTGGACATTTAATTCTAAACGAACAGGCATATAAAAGAGCATTATATTTTAGTATGAGGAAGTTTTTAGCTATATTACTTCGGTTTTCCCTCCCCATAGATTGAAAAATCAAATGTTGCTTCGAACACATGCATACATGTATGTGAATTTTGTGCAATTGCGTTAGTGTTTTTAAATAATACTTATGCATGCATTTATCTGAAACTAGCCACTACGCAGCCAACCTTCGTCAGGCTTTTAAACGTACAGGAAAAATGCCTAAAGGGAACACCAGACATTAAATTTAAAATGTTCACCGAATTTTACTCTGTAAAACAACCTCATGGAGGAAAAAAAAAAAAAAAGGCAAATTTTCAATAAAAATATATTACATATAAAAATTACAATGAAATAAGCAGTATCTTTTAATACAAATATTAATTATCCAAATTAATAAATTAACTAACTTCCGTTGCCTTCCCTCAACAAATGTCCAGTATCCAAGAGAAACATTAAATTTAAAAACTGCACAGAATCATCGCCTTCATTTTTTCAAGTGGCAAAAGTGTTGATTTTCAACAGTCAGTAGTCCAGTATACAAAGCATTGAACGAAAAACTGTTGCCAAAACCACATTTCTAAAATAATGAAACTATTCAAAAACGATGCGATTTCATCAAAAAAGATAAAATTAAAAAAAAATCGCATTCGAATTTTGAAAAAATCGCTTCGAAGTGCACTAGCTCTTGTCTACATGCGGCTGTGTACCAAATTTCATAGCCATGGGTCTATTAGCTTACGCGCAGCACGAACGAAAGACACACACACACACAGACAGACGCTTTCTTTTATTATATGTAGAGATGTTATGCAAATATATTAGGAACCATTTTGCATTTTATTGGGTTTATTTTCCTCGTACGTGACGTAAGTTTAAAATTTGTTTTACAAAGTTTTTCTAAAAGATCTAACTATTCCCTTCCCCCCGAAAACCAAATTCATATCTTCGTATCCAATGAACATCAACAGAATTTCGTCCTTACATTAATGTTGATGGTATGAAAAATGGCAGTGCATTTCAAGGGAGCTTAAAATAGGTCCGTGCTCCTCAAAAGAAAAACATTATCCAGAAGAGGAATAAAAAATTACCAGAAACGGGTTAATTAAATACAAAAAATAAAAGCAAATAACTAAATCTATGATCATAAAACAGAGCTTATCTGTTTTCATATCACACTGCGCAGATCGGAGAGCTTTAGAGCCCGAGAGCTTCCAGCGGAATCGGGTGCCCACCAGCAGCCGAGTGGTAAAATCGCTGAACACTGGTAGTTAGGTCTGGGCTTCGAATCCCAGCGAATGGACTGGCTGCATGGGTGTTTTGGTGATTTTCCCTGTGTGCAAGGTGTATACGAGCCAATTTCCATTTAAAAGTCCCACGCGAAGCCATCCCTCCCTTTAGGCAGGATAGCCCTTGAGAACTTTGACATAATTTCAAACCAAACTTACCCAGTGGGGTCGGTATTGGCAGCTTAAGGTTTGATGAAATTTTACAGGTAGTCAGAGTGATCAAGGGGTGGATAAGAGAATGTACCAGCATTTGATTGGAATAATCAAATCGCATTGATTACAAAAATCTATCAATAAAATTGATAAGTCATTATTTATTGTCAACGCATAATAAGGGACAATTTACATACACCCTTGACATAATAATAAATATAAGACGGAAATAAATAAATATAGACGGAAACACGCAGATACGATTGTCTGTTCCTGAAAAGGACTCTATGTAGTCAAAAGATATATATTGGTATATGAAAGCCATTTGCTTTTAATTCCACTTCTAAGACATTGAAAATTTGAATGTGGCAACGTAGCTGTTCTAATCTAGTGTAAGCAGGCTTTAGCCATGTTAAAGATTTGTTGCAGAAAGCAAGACATTGGTTCGATATTTTTTAACGAGGAGATTTAAGAATCGAATCAAGCAATTTTATGCCAAGTATCTTATTAAGTTAAATAATTAAAATGTTGCAAATCAATATATCATATATGCAAATGTTGCAAATCAATATATCATATATGCAAATGTTGCAAATCAATATATCAAGAGCAGCCAATCGTATTAATTAAAATCGAACTTTTGTGCAATTAGAATCTATGATTTTTTGTTGTAATCTTTGACAATTGCAATCTCTGACCATTGTGGGAAAAGGAATCCTTTATTCTGCCCGTATGTACAAATGCTACGCAAAACGATTGTCTAAATGAATTTAAGAGCGGTCAAAATGGATATTTTCGTTGAAATAAAAATACCCGAAATTTTTAGTTAGTGCAATACCTTTTTTACTTTGCACAAGGAAGTAAAAATGGGCATTTAAGTAAATGACTAATTTGCTTGTACCAGTGAGTGCATCTGTGGCAATGTTGATTAGCAAACATAAAATACAAGTATATATATAAAGTACTTACATAAATTATATAAAGGAAGAAAATTAAAGGAAATAATTAAAGAAAATTACCGTGTAAATAATAATAAAATGACGTATAATGTTAAAAATGTCCTTCAGCTAACACTTAACTTGCACGTTTTAACATTTTCAAAAACTAGGAAATTTGTAATCTGGTTAAGGTTTAAAAAATAATGCAAGCAGAGCCGTAAGAAATACTTAATTCGAAATAATTTCTTCTGCGTCATTATTATGCAAGTATATCTTTAAAATGTTACATAACATCTCCTGAAATGAAAAGATAATCCACAAATCTAAAGATAACACATGACTCATTCATAACAAAATAGCTCGTAGCTTTAATCTTATCTACGATTCACAGCATTAAGTTACGTTGTTGAAATCTGCGAGACAGTTCTTTCCAAAGATTAAGCAAAAAAGATAAAAAGCTCTGGCTACCAAATGAAACAATGGAATACCTTCTAAACATTTGCTGTCAAGGGTGTTGCACCACGAGCTAACTCACTTTGTGTTGTGCTTCTGCTCCTGGGTCTTTCTTTAAAGAAGAGGAAAAAAGGAAATTAAGAGAAAAGGGGGATGTCAGCATCCCGCGCGCCCTGGCTGTGACGTCACTTAGTTTATTTTTTCCCTCCTCGACTGCTCATGTGACGTCATTAGTGACGTAACTGGGGACAGAAAGCTGCTCGCACGAATCCGGAAAGTTTCCGCTCATTCTCCCGTTAGTCCGCACACGTGTGCGGTGGCTGCCCTGCCCGCTGCCTCTGACGATCATTTTTTGATCTCCATCCTCCCTACGTTGCTTAAACATATTTGCGAGAATACTGTTCTCTGATTGCAATGGATTTTTTGCACATATTGCAACTTCCTGAGGAATGAACATAAAGGTGGGTTTGATTTTACGTATAGTAGATGCTATTTTGCGAGTTACATTATAGACATTTATTGGAAATGTAAGTTTCGGTGTGACAGTTTTTATGGTAAAGAAGAAACGATAATTATACGTATTTTAGCATTTTAGCTTAAAAAAAATCTGTTTAAATATTTTGGAAACATTGTTGTATTTTTAAGAATAATTTGGCAGTGCATCGTTTACCATCAGATGTTTACGTTTTTGGTATAGCTAAATCCACTATTGTAATTTTTATCACATCCAGATCTAAGATATTAGATTTTATCAATTTTGTTAAATATCTCTAAAGAAATCTAAAAACTCTATTTCCATATAATTTAAAATGCTAACTTATTTAAATCTTTATTTGAACAAAGGCAGTAATGATCATAAAATTAAATCTTATATTAATATATTAACAATACGTATTTGATAAATAAAGGTAACACACAAGACGTTAAAAACACCCTTTTGGGCGTAATGTAAAACTTGAAAGCTTTCAGATTTCTTTTCGTCTTTTCTTTGTTTTATTTACAAAAATGATGTCTAAAAAGCAAAATTGTTATTTTGAATAAGTGTAGAGTTTAAAACTGAAGGCATTATAAACATTTTATTATAATGTATTTTGTATGACTTTTATAATGTTTAAATAAAGTTAGGAAAATTTTTGAATTCATTTACATCATTAAAAGTATTTAGAAATAGCTCTTAAAAGCATTTTAACATGTAATTGTTCTCTTCTTTACTTTCTGTTTAATATGTATTACAGACTTCATAGGTAAGAACGCTTACCTAGGAAATTTTCTGTTATATATATTCATAGATATCCAGAATATATATTCCACTTTATTAAATATTCATATCCATAAAATGTCTTTGTTAAGATTTCAACTCAATTTACAATATTAGAAAAGCTGTTATAAAACTTTGACCTAATGTTAGTCGAAACGGGATACGGATGACAATGTTAATGTTAGTCGAAACGGGATAATTATCTAAACTATAGTTTAAAAATTCTTTTCAATCAAATTCTGTAATATACATACATATATGCTAGATAAATATTTAATTGCTAGATAATAAATATTGCTAGAGAAATATTTAATTTAAATTTTCTGTTAAATTCTATAATGGTGTAACGAAGCATTTATCTATCTCGTTAAATATTTACCTGTATTCATATCTGCACCAAATATCTTCAGACAGACAGATGTTATAAATGTATATATGCATTCATATATAATACATGACTGATAGACGGGAGACAGACAGGGATTATAAATTGTGTACTTCTCCCTCTATATATATACGCATATATATATTGTTAATTCAACCTTGCATATGAATTTATTAATATATTTAGCCAAAAATAGATACACATTCGCAAAGATGAGAAAATATTGCAAACTAAAACCCAAGTAACAATTAATTCATCTTTTTCTTGTAAAATTATGTGGTAATACTTGTTTTTGAGGGGCGGGGTATTGTATTTTGCTGTATTATACGTAGGCTATTACTTTGTACCTCTAGCGTTTATTTTACGAAGCTTTTATATTTTACACCATTTCAGGTTTAATGAATATATTTGAAACTCTTACAAAATAGGAGCTTTTAACGCACTTAAGAAAGAGCTTTTTGCAAAGCACATTTAAAGAGGACTTTTTTAAATTTTCTCTCTCGATACAAAGACAAGCAGATAAGTAGAATCGTAAGGAAACAGCTATTTTGATACAAATTAGCGAAGAAGAATACAATCTTAAAAAAATCAGGAATAAACACAAGAGCACAAACAGCTTACTTATAAATGAGTACTTCTAGATAAAAATAAAGTGAAAGCAATTGGGCAGCCAATTCCTGTTGGACAGCCAATTCCAATTTCTAATTGGACAGCAATTCGACAGCCAGCGTTAACCAGCGAAAACGTATCCATCTGAATATCAAATTTGAAAATTTTATGAACTTATGTTAAGAAATATATAAGCATAGACAGCTAAATAGGTATACATGCATGCATATAGAGATGCTAAATGTACATGAATAGCATAAACATATATAGATGTATGTTATGAGTATAGTTATGTAGATAAACTGCTAGATAAAATGGCATAAAATTATAATAAATGTAGCAGTAAATTACGCAACTTTTTTAAATATATGTAATATTCAAAATCATTTATTTATCAAAATATATGCTACACATATCCTTACCCATGTATGTATTATTTCAGACATATATGAGCAAATATTGATAATGGTAAAAAGTATTTCATAGCAGGATCTGCGCTATCACCTCGATTTTTGCATATTTCAATTTCAACGTATCTGTGTATTTTAATGTTTGTGGTATTACAAAATGCAAACTGTTTGCTGCTTGTTCCGAGGTCTGTATTATTTTGGCCTATCGGCGTGATATACAAAGTGTTGAAACTATTTGCTCTAAATTCTAGTTTAAATAAGAAAAGCTATTAATGGTCTTTTTCAATTATTTTCTCAAAGTAATTTCGGTATTTCCAAAAATTCCATATAAATTGTGATTTTTAGTAATTATAACAGTAGTATTCAATTTTGGGAAGATAAGCTCGGTAGAATAAATAATATTTTTATAAAACTTGCGGAGAAAAAAGCAATTCTTAAAAGTATATCATTTCTAAACCTATTTATAATACCTAAATCTGTCTGTAAAGTAACTTATAGGACTCTGGAAGACCCTCTTCATACAAATTAAAAAACTTCTCAAAAATCTAGAAACGTTTCTCTAGAAACGCTGTTAAGCAATTTGAAAGTACATACACTCATCCCCATTATGAACATTAGTTGAACTATTGAAAACAATTAATTCAAAGTTACCTTTCACAGGAAATTTTATCAAAGTGTACTAATTGCGTTGCAGGCGTAAGCATTGCGATTTGCATCTTTAATCTGCGAAATACTTTTCTCTCAGACTTAAGAGTATTAGAATGCTATTAATAGCTCAGCTTAACAGTTAATTTTAAGGATAAACAGCAACTCATGAAATTGTTACTCAGGAGTATTTAAGTATTATTTCTGTAATGTTGCTATAGTAAAATTATTTGTTAATTGCAGGAAAAGATAAGTTCGTTATGTGATATAACACTTGTTGCTTAGAAACAGTAGAAATTGAGATCGATTAAAGTTTTAAAAAGTAGATTAATCGATAAGTATTTTAAGTATGAAGAATGATTTTCTCCATTATTCCAAATAATCATTTCAAGTAAGATTGCAAATAAGTACAATGGATAAATTAAAAAAAATTTTTGAACTGAAAGTATTACAGCTGATTAAAAAAAAATTAGTGTTAAAGGTGATTAATTCGGTGTTTTTCAATGGTAAAAATATTTAACCTAAACTACAATTCTAAACTGAAACATTTAACAAAGTTCTAACTAAATAGATGGCCACTCAATTGAAATAGGTATTTTAATGAGTAAGTCAAAACTAGTGTCCATAAATTAAATCCAGATCTATATAAACGACGTTTAGTAAATAAATGTATAAACTATTAAACATATTTATCCTCCCAGAGAGTATAGTGGTTAGGGGAGCCGACTGCAGTACCGAAGGGCCCAGATTCGAATTCCGGAGAAGGCATGGAGAAGACTGTCCGTCTCTTCATAGGAGGCAATGCCTCCACAATAACATTGCCACCATTTCTGACCTTAGGAATGGCCAATGTCGAATTGGCAAGTTTTATATATATATATATTTCTTCAAGATTCTTCTTCAATATGGATCTAATCACGCATCTACACTGCTCCGTCTTTTTTCCTTTGCTCTTATTATGACCTATATATATATTTTTCCTTTGCTCTTATTATGACATATATATATATATGTGTGTGTCATAATAAGAGCAAAGGAAAAAAGACGGAGCAGTGTAGATACGTGATTAGATCCATATTGAAGAGAATTTTGATTGCGTAGTATTTAAAGAACTTGGCAGTCGAGGCAGTTTTAATTCCATTTTTATTTCAATTGATATTTGTGGCCACAATCACTTGGCACTCTATTCGTGCCTTTCCACGAAGATTTACATTTTTTGATATTGTTGGATAAAGCAAGTCGCGAAATAAAATCTTAGCAACGTAGAGCGCAAAAAGTTGCGTAGTTATGAAAGAGGAAGCACGCGAAGAAATTTTGGTTTACAAGGACGTTTCATTCCAATGATACGTCATCAGAGCTGCGCGATCATAGGTGATCTAGAATGACGCAATGCAAAGAAGTTATTGCGATTTTGATAGAGAGAAGAATTAATTTAGTTTAATCTATATTTTGATTCTATATTTTTATCTTATATGTATATATAATATATAATATTATTTAATGAAACGTTAAATGTTTAGTGAAATTTCTAATACACAATATGAAACGAAATGCAAACACGAGGAAGAAAAATTAAAGAAATACATTGAGAAAATTGTTTGCTGATATTTTGCATTTTTTCCAACATAATTATATTTGAAAAAATTGTAATTTTTGTAAGTGTGTTGAAACTAAATATATACACAATGTGTTCAAGGTATACAAATTAAATCAAAATGGTGAAAATTCTGCAACATTATCTGCTGATTTGTTAACGTTTCTTAAAAGCTGTATTGCAGAGTTAGTGTGTTATTGTTTTCCGTTATAATACCAATTAATTGTATTAAATGATTAAAAGCATAGTCACAAAGAAAGATGAAAACAGTTTTGGAACTAGAATGGCGTTAACGTAATTATATTACCAATCAATATTTATTATATGTAACAGTGTAATTATAATATGTAGCAACTCCTTATGCAATTCACAATAAAGTTTTAGAACTAGAATAGCGTTAATTTAATTATATTACTAATCAATATTATTATCTGTAACTGTTAATGCAGCTCACAATAAAAATGATAAAACATAGAGAAAATGTTTGATTCGAATAGCAATATTAGTAATTTGTGCACTAATATTCATCACTAATTGGTGTTCATTGGTGGAATCCGTCT